TAATTTATTCTTTAAAAATATTTTAATTTTTAAATAAAAATTTATTAAAACAATTTAATTTAATTTTTTTAATTTTTAAAATATAAAATAAATAAAAACTATTCTCATAAAATAAAATCTCTTTGCCATATAATTAATCTTTTTATTTTTTTATTTTGTTGATTATATAATGAGAAGAAATTCTCTTCCTTTTTTTATTTCACTCTACCACACCTAGATATTATATTATTTAAATTTAAAATTTTTTATTTACAATAAAAAAATTATAATTAAACTATCAACCCGATTGGTATCACACAATTGATGTTATAAAATATTTTTTTTATATAATTTATTACCGGCGGTAAAATCTAGAGAGAAAAAAATAGTACAAAAGATCAAAGAGAGGGTAAGTAATAATGGCGAGGTCTGCGTTATCAATGATTCAATGTGCCAATGGCCGAATGGCGGGTTCCACGAGCCTTCTTCTTCCCCTTCCCCCACCCCCACCCTCTCTGCAACTCTCTGAACACACCACCACCACCACCACGCCATTATTCATTTCGCCTTCACGCATCTCCATGATTATTCAATTCATTTCATTCCCCCCCAACAAACAAACAAACAAACAAACAAAACAAAAACCCTCTCTCTCGCCCATCTCATTTATTTATTTACTCACTCACTTACTCAACGGTCAGATTTCTTGTTTTCCCTCTCCCTGCACTGACTCTGCTGTGTGTGGCTCACTTGTTTTCTTCTCTGCTATGTAACGTGCCTGTGTCCCCTTCCTTCTCCTTTTCATGATTCTGTTTCTGGGTCTATCTCTGTTTTCTCTTTCCTTTTCTTGTTATTATCTCTGTGTTTTTTATTTTGATTTCTGGGTCTTTTAAATCACTACTGGATGCTCGCCGGAAAATGTTTCCTCTTCTCGAAGTCTACCGGCTGGCACCATGACTGGGAGGATTTGTCAGTTGGGTTTTTTCGTTGTCTACGTATTAGAACCGTCTTTGTCATCACTTGTTATTGTACGTTTTCATATGGGCTGCGGAGGATCCAAGGCCGACAACTCGGCCTTGGTTAAGCTCTGCAAGGAGCGGAAGGAATATATTAAAGCGGCGTCCGACTACCGCTTTGCCCTTGCGGCTGCCCACGTCACCTACTTCCAGTCGCTCCGGGATGTTGGGGATGCGATCCGCCGGTTTGTTGACGAGGAGCTTGTTCTGGGGGACTCGTCTCCGCCTTCTGATTCTCCGGTCCTGACTTTGCCCCCTGATGATTTCAAATTATCTTCTAAAAAGAAGCGTAAAGGAGGGGGCGACACCCGTGATTCTTCTTCCACTTCAATTTCGCATTCCATTGAAGATAACAGCAGCAAACATGTGAAACCGGAGATTGGAGAGAGTGATCTCGAGGATTCCCACTTGCATTTGTCATCTGGGTCGGCTTCAATTTTGGGTTCTGGTTCAGGGTCACCTCATACCCAGACTCATTTTGAGGAAGAAGAAGCACCAGGGGAACCTTATAGCAATGGCTATCCTTACCCTTATGCTCCTCAGGAAAATTTGGGATACACTTATCCGGTTCAACAAAATTGGGGATTTACTTATCCTCCTGGAGAGAATTGGGAATACCCTTATCCTCCTCCCGGTAATCCAACGCCGTCCATGTATTACATGAAGAAATCTGCAACTCCTTCTCAGTCGTTCGTGTATCAGGAGCCTGATAGGTATCCAGCATATGGGAGCTCGGGTTATTCTCCGTACCCTAATGGGGGAGGGTTTTCCGGCTACCCTATGGGCTCGCCTCGAATGGATTACGGAGTCGTGCAGAGGAATTCTCCTCCCGATCCGCCACCAGCGCCTCCATCACCACCGCGCGTTTCAACGTGGGATTTTCTCAATGTGTTCGATAGTTATGATATGGCAGGGTACCCGGGTTATTACCCGCAGGCTAAGTACGGGTATGGATCGACGACGAGCAGCCCGGATTCTAAGGAGGTAAGGTTGAGAGAGGGAATCCCTGAGCTAGAAGATGAAACGGAACCGGAAATGTTGAAAACGATCCATAAACAGAAGAAGAAAGTGGATGAAGAAACGAATAGTGTGAACAGAAGTAGAAATTCCGGTGAGGGTACTTCGAGGGCAGTGCCGATTCAGAAAAATAGCAGTGAGGAATCGACTTCGACTTCAAAGTTCTTTTCTTCTGATCCATCTTCGACTTGGAACACAAAAGAAGTGTCATCACACAGCAGTGAGAGTACAGAGTCTGGTCATATTAAGGTTGTGAGTAGTAGTAGTGCTGATACTATTGTATCAAAGGGCTCCGGGGAAGAGCATGCGAAGAAGAAAGGAGTGAATTTTGAGGTGGAGGATGTTGAGTCGTCTAAACATAGTGGCCCAGCTACATTGTCCGTTCATGGCACAAGAGACCTGAGGGAGGTTGTGCAGGAGATAAGAGATGAGTTTGAGACTGCCACCGGTTATGGGAAAGAGGTTGCAGTGTTGCTTGAGGTGGGCAGGCTGCCTTATCAGCGTAGAGGAACTGGGTTTGGAGGTAAGATCATAGTTATTTTTGTTTCAGATTTTATTTATTTATTTATTTATTTTGTTAGATGTTCTTCTGTTCTGTTAGATGTAGCTTACGATTTTCTTTCTTGGGTGTACAGCCTGTTGAATGCTTTGTGTTGGATTTCTGATACTGATTCATGCTATTATAGTGTTTATAGTAGCATCAAAGTATTCCAAGATAGTAGTGAACATTTTTCATCTTTATTTGGCTGGGTTGATTGATCAATTTTATATTTGCTAGTTGGGATGCTGGAACTTGTTTTGTGTCAAAACACGTTTCTTCATTTTCTTTCTGCTATTGTAGTGCTTGTTCTTTGAGATTGAGAAGCTACAATACTTGACAAAGCTATCTTAAGTTGTAAATTGTAATGAACTGGATCTGTCCAAGAATGACATCTTGAAAACAGGACTAATCTACACACAGTTAATTTGATAGCATTGGGAATTAAATCTTAAGCATGAGTTACTTGAGAATTTTTTTGTATGAGATGATTATATCTGGGAGATTTTATTGTTTTCGGGACTAATAAATTTGAAACATTAAGAATGACTTTAGCCTGAATGTTGGGTTCTTCCAAAATCAGTGCCATTTGATTTATTTTATGGTTTCAACTGGAGTATCATTTTTGGTAAAGATATGGATGACTAAATTTCTGTATGATGAGTTTTCATTGTATTCCCACAGGTATTAAGTACCTTGTTGCTTTATTGAAACATATACGTCTTTATGCAGTAATAGTTTCCAGGATCCTAGATTTAGTCGCACCAAACATGTTACCATCATACTCTTTACCCAGACCAACAGTACGATTAACTCCTAGAACAATGAAAATGGCACAAGACTATTGTGGCGTACCTGGGCAAGACCTACAAACGTTGCAGGGAAACATTTCATCAACTTTGGAGAAGCTTTATGTCTGGGAGAAGAGACTGTTCAAGGAAGTTAAGGTATGTGTGTAGGAAAATATAGTGAGTATTTGCATTTTAATTGGCAATTTGATGATTGTTTCAGCTCTAATGTGTGCATTGAAATCAATTAAATACCTTGTTCCAAGCTTCTTTCATTAAGCTTCAAAGCTATTCCATTCCATGACCATTATTTGATAGCTATTTCAATTTTAGTTGTGAAGCTAATTTTCAAGGCTCTTGCAGTTGTCTGTTTATATGATAATATTGTTTTGGCTTTCTGGTTAAGAATCCTTTTATCTTTAACAGTTTCTCTTACTGGTTTTATAACCCATCATGATGTGAAAGCTATAGTGCACCTGTAGTTGTGAAATGAATATGATTTCATGAGAATACTGCCAGTTCTATTCTCAAATTAATATTTAGTAAGGCCTTTGTGATTAAGACAGAGATGGCTCTGAACAGAAAAAAGGAAGAAAGCTTTAAGGAAATGAACTTTGTTTGCATGTATTTTGACAATTTAGGGGTCACAATCCCTATTGTTGACAGTCATATCCAGATAATTTTCCTCTATGTTGTTGTTACGGGCTATTACTTCTGGAATCTTGGCTATTCTGTTGAATTACATATGCATGAAATCTTGTATTGCAATAATCTGATATGCTTCTATTTGAACTATTCAACTTTTCTAATTACCAAAAATCTGTACGTAATATAACAAAATTGTTATTTTTTTAGTAGCTAATTTCTTACTTTCAGCATAATCATTCAACAGAACTGAACTCTAATCACATCCATCTTTTCTTTTTTGAATTGTTCAAAAACTAGCTCTGAATTTAGAAAACATAAGTTTTTGTGTTGTGACAATCACATCTGACCTGGATGTGTTTATTAATTATGAGTTATTGAATAAAATATTCTAGTTACTGTGGTAACAATGTCTATCATGTGCATGCATTTTGCTTTCAGGACGAGGAGAGGCTCCGGGTTATTTATGAGAAGAAGTGCAAGCAAATGAGAGCATTGGATGACCGAGGAGCAGAGACCAGTAAGATTGATGCAATTCAGGCTTCAATAAGAAAGTTGCTGACTAAAATTGATGTCTGCATCAAAGCTGTTGAAGTAATATCCAGCAGGATACATAAGCTAAGGGATGAAGAACTGCAGCCTCAGCTCACTGAATTGATTCATGGGTATTGACTTACCTTGTTCTTTGAATGATGTTAAAAATTTCTGGTGCTTGCTAGTTACTCATTTGCATTCTTCCAGTAGATATTGAATATAGATAGGTACATTTGCAAATATGTTTTTCCCCAAGGTACCTTCTCTTTCCCTTTGAGCAGAAGCTGCTATTACCGGTGCATGGGGTCACTATGGGTATGCAAGAGGGGGGTTTTGTGAGGTGGGCAGTGTGTTTTACCAAAGTGCACTATTCTTTCGTAATCTCCGTTTCAACCTAGTTTGCATCTTTATGGTGGGTGCTCTAGGACACTATTACAAATGCAACTGGTGCTTGAAATATATCCTATGCATATGCTTTTATTATTTGTTTCGGTTGATTTGTTTGAGCATCTGAATTGTTGCTTCTTCTTCACTACTATAGTTGGCATCACTAGACTGATTTTGACTTAATTTGCTTAATTTATGTAAACATGGTGCCAAATGTTGAGATTTGGAATGTTTGTAAGATTCTGGCCTACAAAAAACATCATCAAGGCTGTTGGCATTTTCTTGAAAGTTGTCTTGGTAGTTATTCTTGGGAAGGGTGATGAAAACTAAAACGTTCAAACATCTGCTGATTTTGATTTGTCTAAACTTTCTACTTGGTTCAATATGTTGCATTTCACTTGGCCACTTCTTTATGGCTTGTTGGAAGATAGAAAAGGAACTTTAATTGCTTTGTCGAAGTGACAGCTCACTTAACATATTTGTCCTCTTTCTTCTTCTTCCTCTTTAAATTCTTATATGTTAATAACTTTCCAAATGCAGATTGAGAAGAATGTGGAAATCCATGCTGAGATGCCATCAGAAACAGTTTCAAGCTATTATGGAGAGCAAACTTCGCTATCTTAGAGCAAACACTGGCTTTCAAAGAGACTTAGGTTTGAAAGCTACTCTTGAACTTGAGGTGGAACTTCTTGATTGGTGTTCTCGGTTTAATAATTGGATCACTACACAAAAAGCTTATGCTGAGTCCTTGAATGAGTGGCTTATGAGGTGCCTTATTCGTGAACAAGAAGTCACTGCTGATGGAGTTCCTCCTTTCTCCCCAAGCCGGGCCGGAGCTCCACCAATATTTGTACTTTGCAATGATTGGTTTCAAGCTATGGATAGAATCTCAGAAAAGGACGTGGCAGATGCAATGCAGAAATTTGCTACAAGCTTACGCGAGCTATGGGAAAGGCAAGATGAGGAGCAACGTCAGAGGACAAGGGCACAATACCTCTCAAAGGACTTTGAGACACGGCTTAGAAACCTACGCATGGAAAGGGAAAGGATCGAGCATGATCAAGATGCATTGTCAGAAAAAACTGCAGTTTCCAAGCGTCCCTCAGAAAGTGGAGTTTCACCACTTGATGATCTGAAGGTAGATTTGGATTCAATGAGGAAGAAATTAGAAGAAGAGAGAGCTAGGCATAAGGAAGCGGTAAAATTAGTTCATGATGCTGCAGCAAGCAGTTTACAAGCAGGTTTGATCCCAATCTTTGAAGCCTTGGGCAATTTTAGTTCAGAGGTTCTGAAAGCTCATGAACAGGTCAGACTTTAAATGCCATCGACTCATGGGTAACTGCATCACTCTATACTCTCCTCAACCATGCCTGTGAATAGTTGTCTGAGTGAGAGGTTAGATTTGCAGATAAAGAAGGATACAGTATGAGCTATATGAAGTGGGGTTAGAGGGTTATGAAGTTACATGTTTTGAAATAACCCCTTGAAGGATAATACATACCATAGGTAGGAATTTTGTATAGAAATTCATTTATTGGTTTATTGTCGGATGTGTTAGATGTTAGATGTATTGGTCATTAGTGCACCGTATGGAAAGGAGGAAATAGGCATGACAGTGTAGATCTTAGAACAACAAATTTTGATGAATGAATTATGATTTTGCTCTTTTTGGCCGCCTACTTTATAATACCATTTTATCCCCTCTCAACTGATGAGAAATTGAGACTTGAATTCGAACAGTTTTAGTTTAAACTTGAAACAAACAGAGATAAATTTGAAGAAAAAGAGAGCTATTGCTTGTTATATATAGAACATAAACATACCAGAAAAAAATCTTCCATTCTCATGCTTTAGTAAGATGTTGATATTGAGAAGGTAACAAGAAAGTTAAGCAATGGGTCTAAGGTTCGTTTGATACAGTTTTTTAAGTGCTTCAGCTTTTCGATATTATTCATGTTTCATAAGTTTAAATTTTTCTCTTAAAAATTTACATTTTTAAACTTTTTAACATTAAAAAGACTCTAAATAATAAAAGATCAATAGCTTCATATTCAAATTATTCAAATTTTTTATAAAATTTTTTGTTACTCACTTTTTACTATAATTAAAA